TTCAAATTGAATACATAGGAAAAGATTGAGAAAGAAATGAATTCTAAATGAAAAGTAAAATCGAGTAAATCGAAACCTCTATAGAAAAGGTTTAGCACTCGCCCGGATTTTAAGCCATTGTTCTGAGCCATTGTTCTAGCACAAGTCAACGTCGCCTGGGATTATGATTTAAGGAAATCTGAGCCTATTTGCGTGAAAGGACATTTCCATTTAACGTCTTTTGTTTCCATGAAAGAGAACGTGCTGATGTTTCCACGAAAAAGGTCACAAGTTATAAAAAGCATTTGAATTCTTTCAATGTTTGGTCAATAAATAGGATTAGGGATATATTTCATGGCTTATTGAAGCTAAGTCTCTTGAATTTATTCAATAAAACAAAGTGTTTGAAAAACGATCTCAAACAACGCTCCTAGAAAATCATGAAAACGTCTTCAAAATGTTGCTGATTGTATGAGCTCTTAGTGTGAGCTTATTGTGTGCGTATTTGTGATTGGCGACATCTAAACTTGTGTGGGCCTGTGTCATAACTATCTGAGTTGCGTCATGTTAAGAGATCAATTTCTCAGAAAAGCGGAAGACCGAAAGCAAATAATCCGTTTTGTATCTTTTTAAATATATTTTGATGACTGCTTGAATTAGAACGTTTTAAATGACTTTTCCATCTGATTCACGCATCTTGAACATGTTACTCTTCTGGACTGGTAAAAATAAGGATAACCACATTAACTAAAATCTTTGTACTCTGACCAGCTTCCAGCCAAGCGTCACGTAGTCTTCCTCGCAGCCGTTTTTTTGGATGTCACGCAACGCTCCCCCAAAAGAACTTGGGGGAGCGTTGCGTGACATCAAAAAAAAAATGCTGCGAGGGAGACTAAACGTCATGCTGAGTTATCAGTGTTGGAGCATTGGAGCATTGCAGCGGTATCATCAGGTCACGGGGGCAGTCCTGTCCGGGCCTTCACCAAGTCATTTTTTCGAATATTATTTTGTTTTAAAAACTTTTATTTACACAACTTTTGAGGCGTGAATAAATGAACAAAAGTATTATCTGTCATAAGAAGCAATATGAGAATGATCGCTCAAGCTATCATAACAGTGTACTTAATCCAGCACTTATCGATTGCTGTTTAACGCTACCTAATGCGGAAATCTCTGAAGTCTGTTGTGCAGGTTTTATTTGTCTTTTCAAACTAAGAAAACAAGCCTTTCATTCTTAGGGGCCGACCACTTATCTTTTGTTTTGAGGGAGGGGGGTGGGTGGGTGATTTCTGGTCATCAAGAATTTTTTTTCAAGCAATCTGCTGGGCAGGATAATTTTTTCCGATTTTTTTGTACATTTTTTTCTGTTACATTTGGTCTGCATGCAATTTTTTTCTGCCAACAAGCGCTTGCAGGAATTTTTTTTTCAAAATCACCCACCCCCCCTCGAAAGTTAAATGGTCGGCCCCTTAGTAACAAGGCTTACTGCCAGGAGAGACGCAACACATCGATCACAAGGCTGAAACAGGGATGCTGTCTTAATGTAAAACCAAATAAATTCTTTTGAAAATAAGAGACTATATGCACTTGCCCAGTTATTCTTCCCAACTCCTTTATCATTTTTTCTGCACTACTGAAACGGGTTACCCAAACATTTTGTTGAAGATTGTAGCTTGCATTCGCCATTAATACAAAAAAAGCGGATATCGCCCACCCCTCAATCCCCGGCGCCTTCGTTATCACATGACTCTCCCCCCTTGCCATGCCCTTATATATTGCAGGGGGGCTTAGAGGAGTAAGGGCTTATTGTAGATGGGTTTATTCGAGAGGGCTTCAAGGCGAGCTTAATAGAGAGGGGCCTTAATAGAGAGACGAGCTTAAAAGAGGGGCCTTAATAGAAAGGGGCCGTGATAGAAAGTGGACTTAAGAAGGGAGAGCTTATTCGAAAGAGCGATAATTGCAATATTTTAATTTACAGATATTATTCGACGAAAAAAGACTCATGACGGAGACAAGGCACTCTTCGACTGACAAACATTTACGCTATTGATCAAATGATCATAACTAAAAAATATTTTATTACAAATATTCTATGATCATCTACCGCATGGATATAAAGAACACGATGATAAGGACATAAAAAAAAAAACTCCTTGATTTAGAAGTGTTCTACTAATTACTTGCAAGTACTCCATCACCTAAAATTATTGAAACTAAATTTTCAGTTTAGGGTACAAGTGAAAGACTACTTCTTTTATTGAATAGCAAAAGACATGGCCTTTTCAAATTATAGCTACACTCATCTCAGGGCCACAACAGCGCTACTGTATTCAATGATTTTTTTTAAACGAGAACTAGGCGGCTGTACTTAGTCTAATGTGCAATTGCGACCCTGCGATCATAGGCCAGATATAACTACGTTCCGAGAGGATTATATCCTTATTTGAAGAGAGCAGTGAGACGAATAGAGCCAAATCAAAACACACTATTTACTGTGTCATGAACAATTTCTTCCCCTTCTTTTCCTTCATTTCCTTCAATTTATTTCTCAGAGTTCACGCTCTGGGGATCAAATGCTTTGTTTTCAAACTGCACAACTTGAGAATCAGGAAATCCAGGTGAATTGCCTTCGGAAGTCATGGAGTGGAGTTGAAGATACGATGCTGGAGAAGACGCAAGCTGTTCATGCGAAGAGTCAGGTGGACCCATGTCGTCACTGATGATTCTGTTCAGTTCCTTTGTTCTGTTAATTAGTTGGGCTCCAGCTCGTCTATTCTTCAACTTGCACGCTACTCCACCAATGACAACCAACAATGGAAGAACAACACAGAGCACAACGATGACAGCGACAGGAAAGTTGCTTTGTTTATCAAGAAAGTTATTTTGTTTATCTAGTCCACATAATAGAGAGAAACTATTTTCATTTTACAAGTTCAAACAAACTACACTTTACATAGGGTAATTTTGGTTTCATCATTTGAGTTGATAATGTAATTTGGCCACCGTAAGAGTTTCAAAGCCATTCGCTCTGACGAAGTGCTAACACTCGAAACGACAGCTTTGAAACTCTTTACGGTGGCTAATTTACATTATCAACTCAGTTGATAAAACCAAAATTGCCTTGTTACTCCCACCGACGCAGCACCACAGTATCTTTAGAAACTTACCCACTTCACACTTGAAATAAACCGGATGATATAAACACCATCTAGTAGAACAAGTCTGCTTATCTTTCTGGGCATTAAGGTAAATACAAGTAAAAAACAGAAGGGACAAAGAATATACCAACAATTTAATCAAAGAAAAAGGAAGGGACTGGGGGTTAACTGTTTGAGCAACAGGGTAACAGTGGGGTGATTTACGATGGACCACTAATCCAACATGAAAAGAATGAATATTTTCTGTGTACTTAAGTACTAGATGGGTGAAGACTTCGCTTTCTAAGGTACAAAAAACATTTATCATTTTCCAACATACCATCAACTATCAAAGTCGTCGCCGCATGGGTCACTCCAAAAGTATTCGATGCTGTACATTCATAGATACCACTATCACGAGGTATCACTTCTCTGATAATAAGAATCAGACCATCGTTGTTAAAGTTAGCCCGTGGTATACTGGTGTCTCCATCTTTACTCCACCTAACAGAAGGTTGTGGATCTCCACTGGCCTCACATGTCAACACTACCTTTTCACCAACAATTACGGTTGTCTTGTCTGGTAATTCCTTCACCACTGGCTTATCTGCCATGAATATATAAGAAAGCATCTAAAACACCTTAATCAAGCAATGCTCTGACACCAAGGATAATCAAACAATGCTCTGCCGCCAACAAACGTGCTTTCAGGTTACTGGAGCAAGCTACAAACGTTTCGTATTTTCTCACTTCCACGAAAAAATGGTAACGCTCAAAACGTCAGCTTTGAAACTCTTTACGGTGGCCAATTTACATTTTCAACTCAGTTGTTAAAACCGTAATTACCATGTTATACTATAGGGAAAGCCACAGATCCAATAAAATAAAGTAATACAAAATCGCACGGTACCTTTGGTTTTCAGCGCTATGAAAGTACTCGACGAATACAGCGTCTGCAAAGAAACACAAGCGAAATTTTCTTGAAAAGAATGAAGTCAAACCATTACGCACAAACAAATCAAGAAAAACTACTCTTCTGGAGAAAGATCCATCCTATGTTCTTTGATTAGTAAGATAACAATATGGAGGTATGAAAGCAGACCATGCACTAGACATCGTGTCGTACTTTACTTTAGTATTTCTTTTGTATGCAGTCTACATCAATGACTTGATGTAAAGCGGTTGGATTGTAGAAAGTCATCCGGGATTGCTTTGTTTTTGTTTTACATGTCTGTGATTGGTCCAGAAAACTTGCGCCACTCTTTCAACCAATCAGATGCGAAACTAAAAACCAATCACGCCTTGGCCGCTCGCGTTTTCCCGCGCTTTAGCTAGATCAGATATATTTTGAGTAGTTATTGGCTCTGAAAGGTATTTTTCCTTCTGATTGACAGTTGGGATTACTTTGGTTTTGCTCTTACGACATTTAATCGAAAAGTGTTCTATTCATGAAGATTGGGGAATATGAAAAACACATAATTTGGATTCGAAGCAGAGAGAAATAAACGACTACATTCGAAATAGATTGAGCCTTGAGGTACCAAGTACTTTTGTATTATGGTGTTTGCATATTTTAGGTGGAGTTAGGAGACAAATCAGTTGATCAAAATACCTCTAAGACAAAAGCTCTGAGAAATACTCTGTAGTTTGTAGTCGGCAAATTTACAAGCAGAGCGACTAACTGACTACTTTAAGACTAGATTTGACGTCAACGTGACAAGTATGCCACTATACTTGTCTTCTGTATTATGGTGTGAAATAAAGCATTTGTTGATCAATATACCTCTGAGACAAAGGCCCGGAGGAATACTCTGTAGTTCGTATTCGGCTGCAGTGGTTTGTTGTAATAATTCTCTTCGCCATTACTCCTCTTGCTCCTTATTTTACTGCTTGATTGGACTCTATCTCCAACAGTAAATACTTGGTATTTGTAAAAATCATGTCCTCCAAACTGGAAAGTGACATAAGCTGCAGGCAGTGGAGATTTATGAGCTTCTTCATAAGTCATCAGGTCTCGCGTTGTAAAATCTGCTGGTGGGTTTACGACACCATTGTAGTCTGAGCGATATGTAATGACGATGACTTGAAAAAAACTGTAAGATCGAGACTTATTTTAGCTGTCTCAGTAAGAAGGTCTCAAAAATTGGTTTCATTAATAACCCGAAATTACATAATTAATGCCAAGAATCTTCTGATTTTAAAAAGTACGGAAAGAGAAAAACATGAAACAAGAGGCTACTGACTACAGGGAATATTACAAATCAAGTAGAGGTTATTATGAAGATTACAAAGAAAACAATCTAGCAATTCTTTAAAATCATGCGCACTCATCCTAAAATCTACGTACATTTACATAGGGCTTAGTGCAGAAGAAATTTTTCTTTTATGGTTGGGGTCTCAGCTAACTCTACTGGAGCTTAATCAGAGTTGAGAACCAGCCTTTCAAAAAGCTTTCTTGGAATTTAGAAATCTCAAACATCGTGCAGTCGTTGAAAAAAAGAACTAAGACTTGCACAACTTACTTTGCATGTCCCGTAAAATTTGGTAGTGTTATTTTCGCTGTGATTCCTCCGTCGCTGGAATTCGTAGTAAATGCTGGTGGGGAAGGTTTTTCATGGGACCAAACTTCACCTGTGAAAGGAAACGTAACGTGTATTGACGAGGAAATTCGTCCACGAAGAATTTCTTAGTAGACAGTTATGACTTTTTCATGAAGGTATCCTTGTTATGCATGATGTCTATCACATGGAATTTAAAATGTGCTCAATAATTCCACTAAACCTGAGCGAACCAAAAAAAATGTCTGCAAGGAGCAGATATAATTAAGCAACTAAAACAACGCTCTATGGACACAGAGGTAAAAAAATTTAAGTCGCTCCTCTTTTCAACATTAAATGCAAATTTCAGGCTTTTCTTCCTCTTTTTCCAGTTCCATCTTCTGCCGAGGAACAGAATTCATTTCATATTGCTACGTGTACTGAAAAGCACACTATGTTACAAGAAAGGTATAAACGAGACTTTTAACAAACATTTTAATAATACCAGCGAGGCAATCTACTTGTTTTGGAGGAAAACTATCGTGTTTAAAGTCAAATTTATTTGCGTCTTTAGCTCACCTTGAGTCTGGATCACTGAAGGCTCGCTGTAAGGTCCGGGTCCCGCCGCAGTGAAGGCTCTAACAGACACTTCATACCTTGCGCATACTGAGACACTGGACAACAGCATCTCTGTTTTGGTTGTGTTGAATGTCGAATTAAAAGAAGCGTCAACAGGAGAGCAACTTTCTTTCAACAGAAGTCTGACTTGATATGTTTTGATGAACCCATTTGCTACCTCTCTAGGCAAACCATCCCAGGTTATTTGATATTCTGTGCGCTTAACTTCTAAAGATATTACATTTTCTGGTCCACGGCTAGGCTCTAACAGAGAGAGAGAAAAAAAGCCTCAGTGAGCTTCTAGGTACAGATAAAAACCAGAATGGAAAATATGCCAGTCATCCAATATCGGTGTACAAACGGAAGTTACTTTGGCGCGCATTAAAACCCTTGAAATCGTACTTCAACTGACGTGTAAGCTTAAAATTGGTTATCTTTCTCCCTCTATTTCAACACGGTATCCTTTTTACATTGCTAATGCCAGCATCATTTAGAACGCTTGCCTAAAATATCATCTGGCTCCTCGATAGTGGTGGACTTTCCGACTCATTCATATCTTCCATTTGTCCGACAGTCCAAAAGTTATGCCCAACTTCTTTCTATACTAGATTCCACAATGGTGTTTGGTCACTGGCAAAAATCATGCGCATCAGCATTATCAAAATCATAACTTTTACCTTCATGCTGCACATACCGTACTCTTTGGTTTTCACAGAAAAAGAGGTATTCTGTCCAGGTTTGATAGTTACAGCTCTGATATAGAAATGATAAGTAACTCCACCCAGGACATCCACCAAGTAACTGAACGCGTCTCCTCCAATACTTCGCTTAGTTTCACCATCTTTGTTTGCATAAAATATAGTGTAACTCCTAATGATTCCATTGGCTTCTGCTGGCTTGCTCCAAGTCAAATTCATTCTTGGACCATGTGTCTTATTCGGGGCAACTTCCTCATAGCCAAACGATAGAGGGGCGCTCGGAGCTAATAAGAAAAATAAGAATTGAGAAGTACCGGTAATAAAAATTTTATTTGCATGCACCATAACGCTCACTTTCTTCATCACCCTGCATTTCCTCAACTATGACACAAAGAAAATATTTCAAACTTTGAATCTATGAGATCTGACATTTATAAGACCAAATAAAGCAACATTTAGTCTGTTCTCTTTTGCTTGTTGACTGGGTTTCTCCTGTGAATCTGTCAAATAGTAAACACTCGAAAAAATACAATAACTGAAGCCTTACACGGATTTTAGCCTCGCTCTGTGTAACCAATTCATCAAATTTCTCCTTCGTGAGATTTTAGGGACTAAGGAGTTTGTTGTTGTTCTTGGGTCTGTTCCATGAACGAGCATTTAGGTGATCTGTCTCAGAAACAATATCCGAAAAGATTCGTTTTCAAAGCTTGTATGCTCGAAACACAACTCAAATTCAATCTCTACTTGGATCGGATGGAGAATTCTTACCATCTTCCATTGTTCTCTCGACCTCAACAGCACTCCGTGGTCCATCACCAACAGAAGTGAAGGCCAACACTTGAAATTCATATTCTGTGTAGATATCAAGCTCAGTTACATCTCTACTTAATGATGCTCCACTGTTAATAGTTATGGTGGTAGCAGATCCTGCGAAGCTTCTTTTGTAGAACAATTTGAATCCTGTGACGATTCCACGTGTTGCATTTTCTGGTGGAGGCTTCCAAGATAAGGTAATACTGGTAGAAGAACTTGCCGTCACTGAAAAGTCAACTGGGGCTTTGGATGGAGCTGCAATTTAATCACAAAAATATCTACGAAAAACAACATTTTTTAACCTTAGACATAAAATGTACGAACTTTATGATTTTCCCGAGTTAAGACTAGAATCTGTTGCCTGTTCAAAGGAAGCTTTTCGACTTTAAAGAGAATCGAAAGAAAGAGCATTCCGCATATTCCTCGTTTAGAAAACCAAGTTTAATAAGAACACTGAGGAGTAAGAGAAGAAATGGTTGGACATAATCCGAAAAAGTCGACTATTAAGAGAAACTATAAAAAAAATCTAACTAGTTTCAGTTCGTGTTACCTAACCGAACGATCTCATTAAGGAAAATATTTTTATTTCCTGTCTCTAAATAGTTTATAATTTCTAACCATCTTCCATTGTTCTCTCCACACGAAGGGAACTCTTTGGTCCATCACCAACGGAAGTGAAGGCCAACACTTGAAATTCATATTCTGTGTACTTATCGAGCCCAGTGATATCTTCAGTATGGATCGTCTCATTAGAAATAGTTATAGCGGATGCAGAACCCGAAGAACCCTTCTTCTTGTACAACAGTTTAAATCCTATGATGACTCCATTTCTACACTCAGCTGGTGGTAGCTCCCAAGATGCTGTAATACTGGTAGAGGAGCTCGCAGTTACTGAGAAATTACGTGGAGGCTTCGAGGGCACTGAAATATGGAAAACACTAATTTAAAAATAAGTCAACGTATTTAACACCTGCTGTGGGCGACGAAAGACAGGGAAACAATAGAAGGGTAGACGAACCAACGAACGAATTAAATAAGACAAACAATTTGATTACAACAAATATTAACTTTTTTTAAGTACGCGACCATACAATGCTGAGGGACTCATAAATAAAAGCAGATGTATATCTGATATGAGAATAAAATAAGAAGCGCCACATGCAACATTGAAACTTTAAAGTAGTATCAATATCCGCACAATTGTACAAACATCGCTACATCGAACCGCTTCTCAACGGGTTCTTAGTAGTATGACCTAAAGCGTTGGTAATGTAATTTGTGCCTTAAAGTTCAATAACAAGAAATGCATAGAAATTCGATATCAGGTTAAATAACAAGTTAAAAAATAACCACGTGGCCATTTTATGAACACAAGTAGGCCTTCATATAATTACTTCCTACCATCTTCTCTTGTTTTCATAATCTCCAAGGAACTGTTTGGTCCATCACCAACAGAAGTGAAGGCCAACATTTGAAATTCATATTCTGTGTACTTAACAAGTCCAGTGATATCTCTAGCAGTGATTGTTCCATTGTTAATAGTTATGATGGTTGCTAGTTCTCTGGAGCTTTTCCTTTTGTAAAACAATCTAAATCCTACAATGATTCCATTTCTGGAGTCTGCTGATGGTAATTGCCAGGAAGCCGCTATACTGGTGGAAGAGCTTGCGGTCAAGGTGAGGTTACCAGGGGATTCCGAAGGAACTGCAATGAGGGAGAGAAAAACTCCTCAGTACAGCATTAACATCCGTTTTCGAAATGTTTGCAACACAGAAGTGAGTAAAACAATGCCCGTGCATTTCTTTTACAACCAATCACTCACGTCTGTCTCAAAGCCTTACTTGTTACTCCTCGTGGATTGCCAACTGATAGCGATCATGCCAATTAAGGAACCTAACAATTACAGTCCAAGATTATTATTCTCACCATCTTCCATTGTTCTCTCAACTTCTACAAAACTTTTTGGTCTATCACCAACAGAAGTGAAGGCTAACACTTGAAATTCGTAATCTGTGTACTAATCAAGTTTAACTACGATTTTGGTGCGAGTTGTTCCGTTGTGAATGGTTATGCTAGTAGGTTCCAAGGTGCAGGATTTCTTTTTGTAAAATAATCTAAATCCTATGATGATTCCATTTCTGGAGTCCACTGGTGGTAACTGCCAAAGTGCTGTGATACTGGTGGACGAGTTTGCGGTCACAGACAAGTTACTTGGAGGTTTAGAAGGAACTGCAGTTTGTAAAAGGAGAAGCTACATAACATCTTGAGTGACCAGGCTTTTGTGTCAAGTAATAAACATAAACATCAAAAGAAACCTATTGTAAACACGAACAAACGCAGAATGTGCATGAGACGACGTTTACAATTTGAAATTTTTGTTTTCAGTGGCCGCTGGGTAGTAAAGTATGTACGTAAGGTAAAATTTCAAGCCTAACTAAGGTATAAGTGTACCTCCTTTTGTCGTAGCATTTAATAGCGCGTGGAACGGGACAAAGCAAGGGCATTCTCTTTGAATGGACTACGGGAACAAAACTTTGAAAATGGAGCTTGCGAAAATAGGCATTCCATTAATCAATATGTATTTTGTATTTGCGATATTTAAACAGGCTGGCCTAATTTATCTTGAAGCTGGGAGGACCTTTACAGTACTGTGCAAAAGTAATGCGAACGATAATCGCCGAATATCGCGATATACCGGCGATATTCGAGCGGCATTTCAGCTGGAGCGATATATCGTTGAGTTCCTCGCGAATTATCGTTTCAGCTCAACGATGTATCGTTTTCGCCTGCCTATCGTTTGCATCCAACGAGATATCACTGCCGCCTAACGATATCTCGTTTACAGTAATTAATAATCATGGTAATTGAACTGAGTGGAGTGCAATTTGTATAGGTAATCACACGATTTCGAGTGCAATTTGGAATAAATAAGCATGAGTAGATTTTTTCAAAGACTAAAGATTATCTATCAGTAATATACATGAAAAAATACGAGGTAGCTTCTCATAACTAAGCAGAAGAAAAGCGCGCTCATCACGTGCAAAAATAATTTATTCAAACTCTGCAAGTGACATTGACCTTGACATTGACCTTGACATTGACATTAACCAATGATTCTGACCAATCAGAATGTCTGGTTTGTTTCTTTCTTTGCACTGAATTAGCCCTCTTCTGCACTGAATTAACTCTCTTCTGCACTGAATTAACTGAAAACTGCATTCATCTTAACCAATCAGAACCGAGAAATTTTTTCATGTATATTATTTGGGCTGAAATCATACGCGTGATTTCAAAATCGAACGGGCGTGCAGCGCGAGTTTGATTTGAAAACACAAGTATGATTTCAGATCAAAACTGCACGACACGAGGTTCAATTACCACTTTACTACATCCATTTTGAAATCGCTCAAATACAGGACTTGGTCAATTGAAATATTTTCAGTTACTGATGCAGTACTTAGCCATTTCTTAAATAAAAAGCGGAAACGGAAACGCTTTTACATCTTATTTTTATGCAAAACAGAAAGACCTTGACGTCATGTGTGAAAACTCAGTCAAGCATAAAATGATGCGATTTAGAGCAAAAAATGCTGCGATTCGTGAATAAATCGCAACAATTAGAGCCAATCATTACAGGGACCACCAGTGATTTCAAAATGGATGTAATAAAGCGATTTATCGTTTGCGAGATATCGCCACCGCTACGCGTTAGATCAGTGAGGCAACATTGTGCCGCTCGGCGAGTTTTCCATCAGATTGACACTGTCTGAGTGTGTTGTTTAGTGAACATTGTGCGTGATTCTATTCGAATGTCTGTTTCACGCATAAGCGTAAAATCTAATTTTGAGACGACAGAATAGTTAGCAGAACATTAGCACGGGCGTGGAAACTCAAGTTTTGAAGGTTGAAAAGCGAAAATGAGAAGTTTAACCTACGGTCTTCCCTAGAATGTCTGAACATTTGCATATTTTATAGCAAAGAGAGCACATTGCCCCTTAGTCTGAAGCCTCAGTCAATAATGTATTTGTGGCAAAGTCACAATGCGGCAAAAAACGGTTATTATATATAAGAGAATTGGCGTTTAGTTATATCTAATCACTCACCATCTTCAATCGTCTTTGCAAGTATGAGAGAGCTCTTGGGTCCATCACCAACAGATGTGAAGGCCAACACTTGAAATTCATATTCTGTGTACTTATCAAGCCCGGTGATATCTTCAGAATAGATCGTTCCATTGTTGAGAGTAATTATGGCTGCCGAGCCTCCAGAATCCTTTTTGTAGTATAATTTAAATCCCGCTATGATCCCGTTTCTGGAGTCTGCTGGTGGTAACTGCCAATGAGCTGTGACACTGGTTGAACTAAGTACAGTCACAGTGAAACTTTCTGGAGCTTTGGAAGGAGCTAAAAAAATTCCACAAAGAAACGCATTAAATTACGACCGACAAAACTCTTAAACAAAAAAGTATTTGAGCTAGTTTCTTCAAACTAAATGCATATCATGTACAAGCCGCAAATCTTCTACTAGAATAATTCAGACTGTCATTTAAATACACTATGGAAGTGTTTTGAACTATTTAAGAAAACCGCAAAATTGAATTAAAAAATAACCAAAAATTTTAGACTTAAAGTCTTCAACAAGAAAACTCTTCAACAAAGAAACTGTGGTGCTGGGTATTACAAGATAATTTAGTTTTATCAACTGAGTTGATAATGTGAATCGGCCGCCGTGAGGAGTTTCTAAAGCTCACGTTTCGGACGCTAGCCATTCGTCATTCGCTCTAATGAAGGGCTACCGCTCGAAACAGCAAACTGTTTAACAGTTTTGAAATGCAACTAAAAGACCCCATGAACGATTACTGAATAGGTACATATGTTTTCGACCAATACACAAGAGGAATAAAGCTACCATCTTCCATTGTCCTCTCGACTGTAACAGCACTCCTTGGTCCATCACCAATAGAAGTGAAGGCCAACACTTGAAATTCATATTCGGAGTATTTATCAAGCCCAGTCACATGTTTAAAACGAGTTTGTTCGTTGCCCATAGCTAAAGTGGCCGGTAATCCTGAAGAGCCTCTCTTCTTGAAGAACAATTTAAATCCTGTAATGATTCCATTTCTGGAGTCTGCCGGGGGTAACTGCCAAGATGCTGTGATACTGGTAGAATTGCTCGCCGTCAGTGAAAAGTTACTGGGGGCTCTCGTAGGAACTGTAATCAAACGAAAAAACAGGTAATTATGTACTCAAATAAGATTCACACCACAAACTATGATACTCCGTGTAATTACTATTATCACCAATAATTAATCATAAAATGATTAAGCGCCAATGCTATGGTTCAGTTGGTTATTTTAGTAACAGTGTTATAGATAACGTTAGCAAAGTAAGTAATGTAACCAAAGATGATTTTTTTTCTAGCTCCATGCGCAAATAAACATAACAACC